GGGACACCTCGGGGACACCGTGAGCACCTCCCCGGAGCAGCCGTACCTGGGGACACCCTGGGGACATTGGGGACACCCTGGGGACACATTGGGGACACCCTGGGGACACTCTGGGGATGTTGGGGACACCCTGGGGACACCCAGGGGACACTCTGGGGACGTTTGGGGACGGGGGTCACTCACTGCTCGGACGCCAGGATCATCTTGGCCAACATGGGCTCCACGGGCAGCTCGGCCATGCGGCGCCCGAGCTGGGACAGGGGACACCAGTCACCTCCAGTGACACCAGTGACACCTCCAGTGACACCAGTGACACCTCCCAGTGACCCCCCCAGTGCTCTCAGTGCCCCTCCCAGTTTGTCCCAGTGCCCCCAGTACCGTGGTGAGCTCTCCCAGGTGGTTCAGAGCCCCCATCTCAGTGTCCCCCAGACCCTCCCAGAGCCCCCCAACCCCCTCCCAGTGCCCCCCAGTGCCTCCCTCTCCATCCCCACTGCCCCCCACTCCATCCCAGTGCCTCCCAGTCCGTCCCAGTGCCCCTCCCAGTGCTCCCAGTGCCCCCAGTACCGTGGTGAGCTCTCCCAGGTGGTTGAGGGCCCCCAGGGCATAGAGCTGCTCCAGGGCCAGCACCAGGGTCTCGTGGGGAGGGGGGTCCAGGAAGTCGAAGTGAATCAGGTCGTTGATCCCTGGGGGGCACCGGGGGCGTCACCGGGACCGCCCCGAGACCACCAGGACCAGCCTGGGACCACCAGAACCACCCTGAGTCCACCCCAGGACCACCAGGACCACCTTGGGACCACCCTGGGACCACCCCCGGGGCCACCCCAGGGACCTCAATGCCCCCTGACCCCCCGGGATGCCTCCAGACCTCTTTAACGCCCCCCCAGACCCCTTTTTCCCCCTCCCCCGTTGCCCCCACCGAGGCTCTTGAGCAGCAGCACGAGGGACCCCAGGTCGCAGCGCTGGATTTCGGGCACCGGCGTCTCCTCCAGCTCGTGCTGGAAGGCCCAGGCCGTGTAGAGACGGAAACACTTCCCGGGGGCCACCCGGCCCGCACGGCCTGCACGCTGGTTGGCCGAGGCCTGGGGACACAGGAATGTCACCTGTCACCCTCCGGGGACACAGGAATGTCACCTGTCACCTGTGATTGTCACCTGTGACTGTCACCTGTGATTGTCACCTGTCACCCACCCGGCCCGCAAGCCCTGCCCGCTGGTTGGCTGAGGCCTGGGGACACAGGAATGTCACCTGTGATTGTCACCTGTGACTGTCACCTGTGATTGTCACCTGTCACCCACCCAGCCTGCACGGCCTGCCCGCTGGTTGGCTGAGGCCTGGGGACACAGGAGTGTCACCTGTGATTGTCACCTGTCAGGTTGGCCAAGGCCTGGGGACACCGGAGGGCCCCTGTCACCCACGTGTCCCCACCCTGGAGCAGGGGGTCACCACGAGGGACTCCATGAGGTGACGGGGTGGCTGTAGGTGATGGGGGGTGGCAGTAGGGTGACAGTGGGTGACACTGAGGTGACACAGGTGACAGCAGGTGACACAGGTGTCCTCACCCTGGAGCAGGGGGTCACCACGAGGGACTCCATGCCGGTCCTGGCGCTGTAGCTCTTCTGCTTGCAGAAGCCGGGGTCGAGCACGTAGACGATGCCGTCGATCGTCACCGACGTCTCCGCGATGTTCGTGGCCACCACCACCTGGGGGAGGGGCCTATCAGGCTCCGCCCACCCCGGGACACGCCCATGGCCTCACCCCAATAAGCCTCACCCCCTCGGGCCACACCCTGTTAAGCCCCACCCTTTTAGACCACACCTCTCGCCCACTGCCCCTTAAGCTCCACCCCTTTAAGCCACACCCCTTTAGACCTCACCCTGTTAAGCCCCACCCATCTAGGCCCCACCCTCTTAAGCTCCACCCCTGCAATGTTCATGGCCGCCATCACCTGGGGGAGGGGCCTCTCAGGCTCCGCCCCTCCAGGACACACTCATGACCACACCCTAATAAGCCCCACCCCTTTAGACCCACTTATGAGGCCCCACCCCTGTAAACCCCACCCTATTAAGCTCCACCCCCTTAGACTCCACCCTAATAAACCCCACCCATTTAAGCCTGGCCCTGTTAAGCCCAACCCCTCAAACCCCACCCATCCCTCAAACCCCACCAATCCCTTAAACCCCACCCCCTAAACCCCATCCCTTAAACCCCACCCACCCCTTAAACCCCACCCATCCCCTAAACCCCTCCTCCCCCAAGCCCCGCCCCCTCCCTTGGCCCCGCCCCCGGTGTTAAAGGGCCCGCGCACCTTCCTGGCGCCCGGGGGGGTGGGCTGGAAGATCTTGGCCTGCAGGTCTGAGGGCAGGTTGGCGTAGATGGGCAGCACCAGCAGCTCGGGCAGGCGCGAGCCCAGGCGGCGGCAGCGCTCCTGCAGCAGCTCCACGCACGCCTCGATCTCCTCCTGGCCACCCAGGGGACATTTGGGGACGTTTGGGGACGTTTGGGGACATTTGGGGATGTCACAGGGACATGAGAGGCATTGGGGGAGAAAGAGGGGAGAGGAGGGGACACGGCGGGACAGGGACGGCCTGGGGGGACCTGGGGTCATCTGGGGGGGATTGGGGACATCTGGGGGGTCATGGGGATGCCAGGAGGGACCTGGGGACAGCCGGGGACCAGGCCACCAGGTAGTCGGCCGGGGGGGCCTGTGGGGACACGGGGGGCGTTTGGGGACACCGGGGGACACCGGGGGACAGCAGCACCCCCACGGCTCCCCGGGCATCCTCCTGTGACCCCCCTGTGCCCCAGTGCCACCTCCTTCCCAGCGTGTCCCACCCCCATGTTCCTGGGTGCCCCCAAATGTCCTCTCTGTCCCCCAGTGTCCCCAGTAATGTCACCTTGGTGTAGTAGATGTCCCCAATGTCCCCAGGTGTCCCCAATGTCCCCCCCAATGTCACCTTGATGTAGTAGATGTCCCCAATGTCCCCAGTGTCCCCAGTGTCCCCAGTGTCCCCCCAATGTCACCTTGGTGTAGTAGATGTCCCCAATGTCCCCAATGTCCCCAATGTCCCCCCAATGTCACCTTGGTGTAGTAGATGTCCCCAGTGTCCCCAGTGTCCCCAGGTGTCCCTGCTGTCCCCAGTGTCCCCCCAATGTCACCTTGGTGTAGTAGATGTCGACGGGGAAGCGCCGCCCCGGGATGCGGAACACGGGCGCGTTGTCGAAGAAGGCCGAGAACCTCTGGGTGTCCAGCGTGGCCGAGGCCACCAGGACCTTGAGCTGGGGCCGGAATCGGGCGATGTCCTTGATGAGCCCGAACAGCACGTCCGTGTGCAGCGTCCGCTCGTGGGCCTCGTCCACCATGATCACGCTGGGGCACCGCGGGGGACAGGGGGGTCACCACGGGGATGGGGGGGTCACCACGGGGATGGGGGGGTCACCACAGGGACAAGGGAGTGGCCACAGGGACGAGGGAGTGGCCATAAGGACAAGGGAGTGACCATGGGGACAAGGGAGTGACCATGGGGACAGGGGACAGGGCACAGGGATGTGGGGACAGGGACATCAAAGTGACCCCAATGAGCCCAAGGACAGGGCTTACAGCACTGTCCCCATGTCCCCCCAGTGTCCCCCAGGTGTCCCCAGTGTCCCCAGTGTCACCTGTAGGAGGCCAGGTCTGGCTCGGTGAGGAACTCCCTCAGTAACATCCCGTCCGTCATGTACTTGAGCACCGTCCTGTCCGAGGTGCAGTCCTCGAACCTGATGCTGTACCCAACCTTGGGGACAGGGGACACGGTCACTGTCACCCCCCCGGGCTCACCTGACACCCCCCTGGGCTCACCCAGCCCCCCCAGAGTCCCCAGTGTCCCCCAACGGCCCTCGGGACAAGGACGAGTCCCCAAAGGTCCTTTGGGGCCCCCAGGGTGGGGACATTGTCCTTGGGGTCCCCCAGGGTGGGGAAGTGTCCCCAAGGGTCCCTTGGGGTCCCCCAGGACAAGGAAGTGTCCCCAAGGGTCCCCCAAGGTCCCCAGGGTGAGGAGGTGTCCCCAAGATCCCCCAGGACATGTCCCCAAAGGTCCCCAAGGTGTCCCAGGACACGGACGTGTCCTCGAGCTCCCCCAGGACAAGGAAGTGTCCCCGTGTCCCCCCGTGCCCCCCCAGTGCCCCCCCCAGCCCCGGGGTGTCCCCGCTGTCACCTCGTTGCCCAGCTTTGTCCCCATCTCCACGGCCACCCTGGCGGCCACGCTCATGGCGGCCACGCGGCGCGGTTGGGTCACCCCGATCTTCAGCCCCTGCCTCGTGTACCCCTGGGGGGCAAAAGGGGGGTCAGGACCCCCAGTGACCCCCCAGAGCCAAATCAGCCCCCCCAGATCCCAACGAGCCCTTCTAGATCCCAACCAGCCCCCCCCAAAAATGGAACAGACCCCTAAAAACAGAACTGACCCCAAATTATGGAACTGACCCCCCAAAACTGACCCAGCCCCTGCCCCATGTACCCCTGGGGAAAAAGGGGGGGTCAAGACTCCCAACTGACCCCCAGACCCACAATCACACCCCCCAAACCACCCCAAAACCCTCCCCAGCCCCTCCATCTGCCCCTATCACCCCCCTAATTGCCCCTTAACCCCCTAATCTGCCCCCAACACCCCCCAAACCACCCCCAACCCCCCCAAAAAATCACCCCTCGCCCCC